AATAATAATATAAATATATAATTAAAAACAAAATAATTAATTAAGAAAAATAATATTATTAATTATTAATATAAAATTAGATAATTAATTATTGTAAAAAAAATGTTTATAAAAAATCATGAGATGAAAAAAATTGCCATGATTTCACTAATGTAAAAGAGTTACAAAATCGAAAGAAAAAAAAAACTTTAGCTACAAAGGAAGAAAAGCTCAAAAAGTTAATTTTTTTCACATAATGTATATATATCTTAATCGATTATATTAAAAAAATTAATAATATATATATATATATAATAATAATAAATAATTTAAAAATATATAAAAAAATATAAAAATTTATTAATAATAAAAATTGTATTTAATTTTTTTAATCTAAATAACTTCAATCTCGATTTTTTTTTTTTTTTTTACCTTTTTCACTCCCTCTATCCACTCTTCAATCCAAATAAAGACTAAGCGATAACCTTTAAAAAAAACAAAATAAACTTATCCATGCATTAAATCTTTAAAAATAAATTATAAATTAAATTAAATTTTATGACTATAAATAGGGGAGATTGGTTAAAAAAAAAATAAGAAAAAGAGAGGAGACATTTTATGTATATATATAAAAATAATTTCTTTAAAATTATTATGTATCTGTAGTTATTAAGTTAAGAAATCATATTATATATATATATATATATATATATATATATATATATATATATATATTTAAAAGTATTTTTTTAAATTATTGTGTATCATCTCCAATTATTAAGAGAACAACATATTTATCGTTATGCTTATTTATTTTTAATTATGATTATTAAATGAGATATTCCTAACCTCATTTTATTTATTTTGTTATATTTATTTTACTTTATTTAGACATTCTTCCTCTCTTATATTTATTTTTTATCTCTAGCTACACATTAATTATATTTTATTTATTTTCAGTTATGTACCATGTTCTTTTATATTTATTTATTTTTGTCTAGTTAAGTTTCGATAATCTTTTATATTTATTTATTTACATCTAGTTACACACTATTTCACGTCTTGTTTTTTTTATTTTTAGTTACGTATCGATTATGTTTTATATTTATTTATCTTTAGTTACACATTAACCTTATTTTACTTATTTTCAATTACGCGTCTTATTTTACTTATCTTTAATTACGCATTAGTTTCCATTTATATTTATTTATTTATCTCTAGTTACACTCATTTTTATTTATTTTGATTTTTTTAAAATAATAATATTTATTTATAAAGATTTGATGACATTATAGATGGAGGTTGAATCTTGAGGATTAAATGAGTAAATATTACATAAAAAAAGATTAAAATTGAATTCATTTATCCTAAATAGTTACTACAAATTTAATTCAAATATTCATAATATAAATTTTACAAATGGAGTACGATGATGAGTCATTATTTTCCCGCATTTTCTTATCTTTATATACTTATCTTAATTGGTGCATTGTGTTTAATTGTCTATTATTAGTGCATTTTCATTGATTGGACTTCATTGGGATAATAATTTAGATTTTAATCTATTTGATCTAATTTTTACTCATTATTAATTTTAGGACAGTTTAAAGTAATTTTGGACTTGAAAAGTTGGGCCAAATGTCATATTTTATTTTATACGGGTACTGACATTAGTTTATTGTTTTATTTATCATTTTTTCTACAGATCTCCAAATAACATGATTCTAAAATAATTATAAACTAGACACATTGAGCTTTCCACAGGATCCAAAATCATTCAATTCGGAGCTAAATTGGATTTTACATAAATTATCCAAAACGGGTCAAGCGCACCAGGCCGGCCCAATGGACATGCTTCAGTAATTTAAGTCTCATAAATTCATTAAAGCTCCGAAAATAGTAGAAACGGTGGCGTTTTAAAGCTAACTCAAGAGGCTTTCGTTGGAGACCAAAATCGCTTAATTTGGATAAGTATTGAAAATACTGCACGTGTTTGAAGTTCATGGACCTGCACTGAAGCCAATTTATGATGTGTTTCATGGACTAGTTGAGCCCAAAACCTCGATTAAGATTAGGGTTAGGGTTATTTATATAAGAGAGGCACAACACACGAAAAACATACAATCACACAAGGACTAGGCAGCCACCACACTTCCGTCTTTCATCTTCTCGCAATTTACATTCAAGTTTGTTACTCTTCTGTCATTATTTTTAAATTCTTGTTTCAATTTTAATTATGTTTCTTCTATTGCGTTTTCAACTTTCTATGGATAGCTAAATCTTTGTATTGATTTTCTGAGAAGAATGCAAGTAGATCTTTGAGGTTTTGTTCTTCAATTTCATATTGTTTGTTCTCTTAACTCTTCATCTTCTAATCTCAGTATTGAATTATAATCTGTTTATGCTTAATAAACCGAAACTTATATCACAGTTTGCTTAATTCTGTGTTAGATATGAGATTATGTGATGTATGCAATGCTTAATTGTATAAGGATAATTTGGGGTTAATCTTCGCTTAGTTGGTTAATTTCATGTTAAAATAAGGGTTAAGGAAAATTTGGGATTAATCTTCGCTTAGTTGGTTAATTTCATATTGGAACAAGGGTAAAAGCTAATTTGAGATTAATCTTCGCTTAGTTGATTAAAATTGAATTAGAATATAATTTGGGATTTATCTTCGCTTAGTTGGTGAATTTTGAATTAATTTCGTAATCTAGGATAAGTGACACTGCATTAGAATCAGGAAATCAATTGCATTTTAATCTGTTTTTAATCCGCATTTTTATAATCTGCTTTTGTTCTGTTTCATCTAATATTTTAATTTTGAAAAACTCCCCTTTTAATTTTTTGTTACTAAAAATTGATAAGCTTTGATAGAAATTCGTGGTCTTTGGGAGACGACCTAGGAAAGCTTCCTAGTACTACATTTATCTGTTTTAATTATTTGACCGAGTACGACATCGATCATACGGTAATAAAGTTGAAAAGTAGATTTTATATATCATTATGAGATTATATTATTTAAATGCTTATTTATTGTGATATCTTGTGATTATACTTAAATAACAACTTAAGTATATGGTGGTATGAAACGTTCCAAAAAACTTTTTTGCAATCACTGTTTTCTTTTCGATGACCACTTGAAACACAAATATTATTGACAATTTAGTTATTTTTAAAGAGACGAGATTATCAATCTTAACATTTGCATTCAATATAAAAACTCTCATAATTTTAGACGGATCAATCGTAGTCATTTTCTATATATCCCTTATCATCTACCACCTTCTTTTAATCAACTTGTTTTTACTAGTGTGAATACCTATATAATAGTAATAAGCATAAAAAGGAATAAAAAATAAATAAAATTTATTATTCGTTTGTATAAAAAAATAATAATTTATAAAAATTACTTGTAAACATTAAAAGTAATGTTTTAAAGACTTTTTAGTAGATTAAAACCACATACTTCTATTATAATATGTCTATTGCATGAACGGGGTATACCGTCTTATAGAGCAATCCACATCTTCACATTAAATACTACGAAAATCAACTTATATCTAGATAGGGTATTTCACATTACCTACCATAGATTTGAATATAATGAAATCAAGTGTAATAGGTAATTACTATCTGTACTCCCCCAACCTATTATCATTTCAATGATAACTACTAAGTTTGAATTATTATAATATAGTTAAAATTAAATAAATAATATAGTTAATTAAAATAATTTAATTTTCTACTTGATATATAGTAATATAGTAATAATACTTGGCATAGTTATGAATATATAATAATAATAATAATAATAGCTACTATTATTATTAAATATATAAATAAATCCAATATAATGTACAAAGTAAATTAAGTGGCACATAATTGATTTGGAAAGAGTAAAGAATGATTTTCACGCATGTTTTTTGTGTAACAAAGTTGAAGTTTTCATGAAGGTTTAATTTTTTTTTTAAATTCAATCCATTTCCATGACATTAATAAGTTGGTTGAACTTTTCCTGATTGAAGGAAAATATAATATAGTTTAATAAATAACATATTAAATTAATATCATTTAATTATTTTCTTTAATATATAATAAAATTTAATTATTAACATACTTAATATATAAGTATTAATATATATAATAACAATTAATATGATTTGGGAAGGGCGAAGTACGATTTTAGTGCATTTTATTGCTAACAAAGTGAAAGTTTTTTTGCCATGTATCTCAATCACCATTTTTTTTTTAAATCAATTCATTTCTACTACACCAACCAAACAAGATAGTACATTTTTTTTCTCATTCTTCTTATTTTCCTAGTTCATCTCTTATTTACTAAATAAGCACTATAGTAAAAGTGGAAAATTTTAAATACCAAATTAATTGGAAAGGGAAGGATTTGATTTGCACAATAGATATGTTAAAGTTAAAAAAAAAAAACTACAATGTAGTAAAAAAATGATTTGTCTCATAAGTAAAAACTACAATGATAATTGATTTAATTTGAAGTGTGTATGTAGTAAAATTCATAAGTAGGAATATTGATTGAAAAAAAGATGAATGTCTGAAATTGACTAAAAAGTTGTAAAGTATTAAATGCAGAAATTCAAAGTAGAAAGACCCAAAACACCCACCCAATCTTATCAAGTTTTGACCATCCCCATTCCGAGTATCAGCGCGCAACCCAATCACCGCATTTGTACACGCGCTTCATAAAGCGGCGCCATCCCGCAACCCAATCACCAGAATATGCCACGTCACACCTTCTCCATCAAAACCCAGTCACCCTATAATTCCCCTTCCTCCTCACCAACCCTAGTCTAAGCTATATATATCCTTACCCCGTTTCCGCTTCCTCTCTCTCGCTCTCGCTCTCTCTCTCTCTCTCGCACTCACATCCCGTTCGGTTTTTCCATCTGCAAAATTCTCATCTCTACCACCAAAACCCAGGCCCTCTAAATTAGGGTTTCTCCCCGGGAATGTGATTCAGCGCGCGGCGCGCAGAGCGAACATCAATGGCGGAGAAGACATTCGGCGTGATAGGGTATGCGCTGGCGCCGAAGAAGCAGAACAGCTTCATCCGCAACTCATTGGTCACTCTAGCAAAATCGCGAGGGATCGAACTTGTGCGCGTGGACTCGGATAAGCCTCTCGCGGATCAGGGGCCCTTCGATTGCATCCTCCACAAGCTCTACGGTGACGATTGGAAGCGCCAGCTTCAGGAATTCAAGACTCGCTTCCCAAATGCGGTTATCCTCGACGCGCCCGAAGCGATCGAACGCCTTCATAACCGAATCTCGATGCTGCAGGTCGTGTCGGAGCTCCGAGTCCTGGAGCGAACCGAGACCTTTGGGATCCCGAAGCAGATTGTTATATACGACAAGGCCACGCTAATGGACCCCCAGGCCGGGGAGAGCCTCAAATTTCCGGTGATTGCGAAGCCGCTCGTTGCCGACGGCAGCGCCAAGTCGCACAAGATGGCGCTTGTGTTCACGCGCGACGCGCTCGATAAGCTGAAGCCCCCGATCGTGCTGCAGGAGTTCGTCAACCACGGGGGCGTGATTTTTAAGGTGTACGTGGTGGGCGAGCACGTGCGGTGCGTGAAGCGCAAGTCCCTCCCCGACGTGTCGGAGGAGAAGACGGTGGGCGTTTCGGAGGACCTTTTGTCGTTTTCCCAGGTCTCTAACCTTGCCAACCACGACTCCGTGAACGACAGCGACGGCTATTACCAGCTGATGCATTTGGACGAAACCGAGATGCCCCCAAACGCCTTCGTCGTCGACATCGCCAGCGGCCTCAGGCGCGCCCTCAAGTTGAACCTCTTCAATTTCGACGTCATAAGGGACGCTCGATACGGCAACCGCTACCTCATCATCGACATCAACTATTTCCCTGGCTACGCCAAAATGCCTGGATATGAGGCCGTTTTGACTCAGTTTTTCTGCGATGTCATGTTCAAGAAACAGCAAGAAGAACAACAGGGGGAGGGTTGCGCTCTTGTTTCGACCAAGAACAATGAGGAATCTCTTCAGGTCTAGATAAATTTGTCACAGAGCTCAAATGTGTTTCTCCTTCTCTACGTGTCGTTGGTTGGTGGCTTTTGGGTAACCAGAATTTCCCCAGTGGACCCATGGGCCTCATTGGTTGGTACTTGGTAATGGTAGGCACGAGTTACACATTTCCTTTTAGGGTGCAGTTGGTACAGTAGAGTTGTTTGTGGCTAGTTTTTTAACCTTCTTAACAACATGTATATTCCATCCACCATTGCTTTGTGGAAATAGGTACCTTTTCAAATACCCTCAATATTTAGGAAAGTTGTATTTTGCGGCTTAAGATACTAAGCTAGAAACTGTTTTACCTTGTGCCCTTTTTCCCACTCAATAACTTTATCTTCTCCATTTTACCAAATTCTATTCTCATTTTAGATATATTGCTTTGGTTACAATCATTCTGTTTACGATTTTCTTGCACAGTTATGTGTTCCTTTGCTATTTTTCCGTGTGAAGTTCCTTAACTGGTATTATGCTAATGAATATTCCTTAAAGATGATTATCAGAATAAAGTGGAAAGGAGATAAAGTCGTTATGCCACTTTTGGTTCCCTCTTTAGCTATCTGAAGTCGTAGTCACGGAGTTAAAGACTTAAACAAGAGGCTCAGTATGAGGCAACCCTTAAATTATCTATGTCAACACAGGTTTAACTTGTATCTAGGTACTAGATATTCAAATCTATTGATGATTTAAAAATAACTGTTCAAATTAATTGTTGATTTATGAGCAAATTTAGTTTTTTTCCGTGTGTTGAAGGATGCTCATGCCAAGTCTTTTAAAAGGTCCCTTGCCAGCAATTTCAATCACACCTTAAGGATATCTGAAATTACTGAAATCTCATTTGTGGTAACATTGGCCGCATTTGTCTACGATTTTCGACCATATCAATCATCTTCTATTTAAAACCTTGCTTCCTGTACATCTTTTTGGATTGGTTTATTTTGCTGCTATGCTGCTATTTATAATTTGATATGAAATTTGAACATCTAATTCATTAATCTAATAAAAGCAGTAATATATATTAAAAGTCTCATACAGAACAATCAATTTCGTTATACTGACTTTTTTTTTTGGATTTTAGTTGCTACCTCTTTTTCAGTGATTGCCTAAATGTTTGATTTCATGTTATCTTAGCTGACATGCGTCAAATTGAAAGCATATTTATTCTGCTTAGCTTATGTTAAATGCTACTTGTCGTTTTTTGAATGAAATTGAAGAGTAAGGTGCTTGCTTATTCAAACATATCCAAACACGACAGATTGATTTTGGGTTTGCTAACCAATGTTTTGTACATGGATAGTTTTACATGCCCTCTCATATAATGTTTTAAATCTCAGATAGGGTGCGGAGTAGCAGTAGGCTCCAAAAACACTAAAGCGAGATAGTGGATAGTAGCAGGATAATTTTTTGTATTGTTTGTGTATGTGCGTATATATTCTCAAAAATGATAAAAATTACTCAAAATTATTAACATTCATAACTAACAATGAAAAGTTATAGGTGTCTTAAGTAAATCTGAACAACAGTCATACACCATTTCTATAAAGGAATTACGTATAACCATCAACAGATTTCAATTTTTGAAATTAAAATCCCATGGAAAGCCCTAATGTCTCTGTTCAAAGGGATATTTTGGGATCATCGCATAGTGTTGGTGTAGATGCTATTTGGCTTAGCTACACCAGTCATACAACAGTCATACACCATTTGCCCTTATTGTTTAATTTTGAACTATCTGCTTGTTTACAGAATTGTCATTTACTAGCAAATTGGCAACGGATGACACAGGTTTGACTAAGGTGCATAGAATATGGTTTTCGAACTAAACATGACATGTATGTGATGTGATTCTGTTTTCAGTTCTTGATATTCTATCTCTAATTCAAACAATGAAGGCCAGATATTATAATTGCTCGGTTGAGCAGGTTGCACCCCCCTGCCCAATTTTAGATGCTAAAAATGAAGTTTTCTCTAATCAGTAGTAAAAAGTAAGAGAGCAGGTCTGGTGCCCTATACAAATGGTAGGTAGTAATGCTATTTTTAAGTTGGTATTATTTAGGAGAATATCTAAAAGCACAGGTCTTCAATTGTTGATTTTATGTTTAATAGTTTCTTTTTCCTTACTTTTTTAGTTCTAACCGTTGACCTTTTCTCATTTTGTCACTTTTCTTATGCAAATGTATTCTTGAACTTCATTTGGAAGATTTGAAGATGGTTGGAATATATTTTAGATAAGTGCATTAGGCTGCATACTGAATTAAGTCGGTGAAAATTTTGCTGAAAGAATTTGTCCAACAGCGTTTTCTTTTACTTCAATGTTGTATACCCTATGACAATTAATATATTACGATGCCTTTGCTTTTGAAGGGGTATGCATCTAAATATATATGGCACTCAATAATCGATGAAATAGTGGTCCTACTTTCAATGGGACTTCAGATTTGAAACCCACTCCGACACAGTTCACATGTATTTCACTTTTGAATTTTAACCTCACAGATACAAAACTGTTGCTTTCCATTTCCTAAAGGGAAGAGAAGATGGAAAAGATAAAAGAAGTGGCTTGTACACATATTGGTATTCTGGCTCATGATTGTAGGTACTTTTGTTCAGTTGGATATATTGAAGTCTTTTAACCTGTTATTAACTGTATTTTTGTTTTGCCAAATTGCCTCTGTTTTGTTGGTCATTCTACCTGAGGGCACATGATGTCTCCCCAGATTTTTGTTTGATTCCCCAACTTCCTCCAACAATATATGTGTGTCGTGTTAATGTATGACTGATATAGAGTTACAAGAACAACATTTCACTCAATTTTTAGGTACCGAGGCGGCATTGTTAAAATCTAGACTCGTTATTGTATGACATGCGTGTAGTGGATCTTGTTGTGATTCTAAATATTATTTGAGTACCAGTGGTATCCTAAATTTTATTTAGGGTCCTTCCATTGAAAGGAAAATATAGTGTCAAAAGTAAGTATTGGAAGGAAATGAGAAAATAAATATTTTTCTTGTTAAACTCATTCTTTTCTCGTCTCTTTTAAAAATAAATATAAGGATATCTTTATAATTGTACAATTATTTTTTATTTTTGAAAATGATAATTTTATTTATTTCATTTTTTGTTAACTTTCTTTTCTTGTAACCCAACAATAGACTTAGATACATGGAGGCAATGTTAAAATCTAGACTCCTTACTGTATGACATGCGTGTAACAGTTTTTTGTTATAATTCTAAATTTTATTAAGGTACCTGGTGCATTGATGAAATTTAGTCTCGTCACAGATGAGATATGCATGCAAGCAACTTAACTCTTGTTAGTGTAGAGTTCTTTTCCAGGTTGATAGTGTATAGCTTGCCTTTCAACGGTTGTTGGGAACTCGTCAGCAACAAAGCATTGGTTGAGGGAACGGTAGTAGCCCATCTCTTATTTTCTCTTTTCACACACGTACATGTCTGAAGTGTATTATGCCTTCTTGACTTTCTGAAAACCTTAGCTTAACATCAAATTGATATACGGAAAAGGAAGTTTGGATTATTCCTGAAATAGGGGGAGTGGTGGATAAGTGATATGAAATGAACTTTCTTCACAAGTATCATGATGGATACATCCCTGGTAACTCAGGAAATTGCACTCAATCATTTTGTATGTTTAGCTCAGTTTTGCTTGTTTTTGGTCATTATCATAATTTGTTTCGATTAATAATTTCCGATACAAGACATTTTTTGTTAGGAACACTTGACTGCTAACCTGTCTTAGTACACTGTGTTCTTCCATTTAAGTGTTCATTTTCTGTTCTTCTAGTGTCCCTCAAGAATTAGACTTCGTTGCTTAAGAGTTTAAGAATCAGATAATCGCCAATTGAAACTTCATAGGCAAGGCAATTTGCTTACCGGGTAATGCTTGAAACAGAGTCTAGCACACAGCATTTAGGAAAGTTCAAAAAGTTACATCTGCAACAATGACAGAAGGACCAAGTATTTATGGCTTGTTCTCTAGGTACAAAGTTCTCTTTAAATTTTACTAGTCAGACATAAATACTTTTTGTGTCGTTTTCTTTCTTTGTTTTTTTTCTTCGCAGCTACGATTTCTAATATCATCTCATAGCAAAATGATTGTCCGTATTTTCGTGTTTGGTCGAGTTTAAATTCTAACACGGAGCATGAAAGTATAATTGTAACCAGTTCAATCAATATTTTATTTCAACTTTCTAACTATTACAACTATTCTGAATTGAATAAGTGAAAGTTTGCTAGAAGTCAGAATAGTTGTAGAACAATTCACAGCAAATTTTAAGTTAAACCTCTATGGAAAATGCTAATTTGCACAAACCTGCATCGTGAAAAGCATAATTCAACGCATAAATGACATCCACAATTAAAATATTAGATAAAAGTATGATTTTGTCTCATAATTTTTGGATTTTTAGTTTCTAAAAAAATATTTGACAAATTTTAGTTTCTAAATTTTTTTGTTAATTTTTTTTAATTCCTATCATTAAGAATTATCTTTAAATGATGACATGACAAATACTTAAAGTATTAATCTAATGATACTATATACAATAGTTGTTTATTTTTTATATATGAATCGAAGATGTGAATATAAGAAATATAAATTTATGTCAAGTAAGTAATCGACGTAAAACAATATAATGACTAAGTTTCGCAATGAATTATTAGAATCATACAATTGGAGGTTACACATTACTAGTATATAAAATATTATTTAAATTGAAGAAAAAAAAACGAAAAAGAAACAAACATCCTCATTTTCTATATGTTTGGGTTAGATTTTTTCTTGTTTTAGGACATTCTTTTCCTCTTGTGGTAATGGAAAAATGACTTTTTTTTTTCTCCTCTGATTTTTTTTCTTTCCATTGTTTTTTAGTGTTTCATCATTCTTCTCTTCTTATGTTTTTTTTTTTCCAATTGTTCTCTGTCTTAAGTTTTTCTGGTTTCTTTTCTAAAATTAAAAAAAAAAAGAA